ACTTCGTTGAAATATGTCCTCAAATAAATTGATTAAAATATGATGCAATTCATTAAATATGATGAATTGGATTCAAATTAGTTTAAAGTTTGTTGGATTTAAATTAGTTTGTCCAAACTTCATTAAAATACAAGTTAGTTAATCCCTTAAACCTCTTATATGGCACTTTTTTTAATGTTTGATTTTCTTATTTTCACTCTTAACCAACCTTCAGATAGATTGGTATTGGTGGAACAAATTGATCAAACATACTTCGGCTTTAGCCTGCATGTATATAGAATTACTTGAAGTAAACAGAACAATGATCAACTATTTGTGATGTTTCATGACCGAGTCTACAATTAGCTATCTATATTTGAATCAAACAAGTTATTTGTATTAGTTTTTGGGCTGTTTTTTTAGTTAACAACTTTATAGATACATAAAAGGAAAAAGAATTCAGATCTAAAGTAAAATAATGAAAATTTTTGAATATGTACAACAACTATTGTTAGTATTTTTTATAAATACTATTATACTTCTATCTAAGGTAGAAAATGGGGTTGAAGATTAAAGAAAAAAATATACGCGGTCTAACATTACTTCCCTTAACCCCATACCAAGCTATTCCAAAAGGTCCAATGTGAGCATTAAGAGGAAATGGGTTATGTAAACAGTGTAAGTTTACTCTCAGACGAGTGTATTTGGCAACTGGGCCCAATTAAATGGTAATAGGCTTGAGTCTCCAAATTAAATGGAAATTGGGCTCAATTCAATGGCAATAGGTTACATAATAATGTTAATCACATTACAGTGCAGGACAAAATCAGAAATTTATTTTAAAAATAATTGTAATATGAAAATTGTAAAATTCGCATTAAAAAATGACTACTTTTTTTTTTTAATTTAAAAATGATTGCATTAACTTTAAAATTATTATGTAATATTTACTAATTTAAAATTAGTTTACTATGATAGTTTTTTGTTTTTTAAAACAAAAATTGACAAATAATATATATATTTTTTAAATGTTGACCACTCTTGGCGACGGCCAATGGTTACTTATGCCCCTTTTCGAGTGGGTTTAACTTCATAATTATATAAATATCTACATATTGTATGTTGAAATGATTTTGCACTCAATGAAATGTGTTCCCTAAAAAATTTATGAGAAAATAGGACCTTGGCAATAGATAGATCATTTTCATATAGTTTGAGGATAAGTTAGATACCATTGTGGAGGACCTGAAATGCATCGAAAAGCTAATTTTGAGCTGATTTATCTACAAATCATAGTGCCTACAATTTTTTATGTAAAAGTTGATTTCTAGTCTTACTATCAAGGGTCGTAAAAATATAAAATGTAACGTTTCTCTTTGCATTGATAGAATAACAACAACAACAACAATAATAATAGACTTATACATAATAATAATATGTAAACTTATAATATTGAACAATAGACTTCTAAAAATAGGTGTCATAACCAATGTTTTTATGCAGAGAGAAAGATTTTTCTCCATGAGATCAGAACTTAGATTTGTTTAGTGTGGGCTTGATGACATGTATAAGTGCACAAAATGATACTTATAAAGAAACAATTAACAACACGATTAACATTAAAATTCCACTAAGTGATGTTCTTTGAGAAGGATATATAAGAACTTTGCTGAGCTGTTGGGTTTATAAATTTCTTCCTTCCAAGACGTTTTGCAAAAGAAGTCAGGCATTTAAACATAAATTTAACAAGGATATAACACTGGTCTTTTAGCTTGACCTGCACGGATATTGCCTTTGAGTTTCATGCAATCGTATACATGCTAGAGATCAAATGAAGCTTGGATAATCATATCTAATCATAACTTAATAATCATTCCAAATGTATTTAACTCATGGTCATTATGTTTAATTACATTTTAGTTGATTAACTATATTACTTTTGAAAATGAGAAACTACATAATAACAAAGACCAAAACAGAGATAATTATAAGAGTAAGGTATTAAGAAAAAAATAATAATATTATCAATGAAGAGAAAAAGAAAATTAACTTAAATCTCATAGCTTTCTATCTCTTCCCCCTTTCCTATGTGNCAATCATCTTTTGCCGTATAAGTTTGTGAGAGAAGTTTGTATAAAAAAGTTGTGAGTGTAGTATTATTGTATGCTATTTCATATGATTGATGAAATCATGATATGCTGCTTGTACTTGATGATGATGAATGATATTATGCTACTTGACTTAAACTTATTATCTCTCTGATATTTGTATTTATTATCTAATGATTTCATATGAGTTAGTCTGCAAATTCACAGCAAATTTAGATGGCAAATCTGTCATTGTCTACTGGGTTTTTTTGAGATTTTTTTGACCAACTTGAGCTTGAAAGCTCTATTAACCGAGCTCGAGTATCACTTTGAGGTACCAAGTTCGAGTTCAAGCTCGATTCCTTAGGCTCGATGAGGCTCAAGCTCGAACTCGAACTTGATATTATAGCAATCAAGCCCAGCTCGAGTAGTCAGATACTCGAATCGACTCGACTTGATTTCACCCTTAGTTTGAGGATAGGCTAGACACAATTGTGGAGGACTTGAAATGCATCCAAAAGCTAATATCCAATTGATTTATCTACAAATCATAGTGCCCACAAATTTCCATGTAAAAGTTGATTTCTAGTCTTACTATCGAAGGTCGTCAAATTATAAAATTGTGGAAACATTTCTCTTTGTATTGATATAATAACAATAATAATAATAATAACACAACTAGACTTGTACACAATAATAATACGTAAACTTATAATGTTGAACAACAGACTTCTAAAAATAGAGGACATAACCAATGTTTTAATACCCAACTCAGGGATTGATCCGGCCAAGGGGTTGGTTCCCAGCTTGGATTGATGACGTCATCATATCTAGCAAGTTTGAAATCCAACAAACACAACTCTAAGAAATTATAAATCAGTCTCTGTGTGTTTGAAATCTAGCAAACACACCCCCACAGTTTAGGCATGAAACCCCAAACTCTAGCCCTTGACAGGAATAATAAGTTGACAAATAATTTGATTTTGGATAAGATTGCTAGAAGAGTACTGCCATTATCTTGCCGTGGGTGGTCGTAGAGATGTCCATTTTTGCCATAAAACTTTCAGTCAAAGTAGATACATAAATTAATTATCAACTGATCAGAAANTCGAAGTCGCAGAACAAGAATGTTGTTTATCTTCACACATAACCTCACTGACATAGAGGCCTTCAATTCATCTCTTTCTACAAATATGTAATAGAATTAGAACTAAAGTCAAAGGTACAATTGATCAATAAAAAGTGAAGAAAACAAACCTGAATTTGATAGCCCTGTGCATCATTGACTTTAAATTTTGCAAATTCGACTCTAATATTGATGAGTCCTATTGCTACTTCTTTTATGCCCATCCTTTCCGCAGGTGATTCTCTTGTACATTCCATAGCCAAACTGAAGATAGATGACACAAGTTCCTCCTTGCTAGAGAAATGTTCATCATCCCTTCTTAGCAAATTTGTGTCCAAGACTTGCATAACTGTGCTACATAATGATTCACCAACCCATCTCCTCAAGCTCATTTCTTCAATAAATATTTCATCTGTTGGCTTCTTCCTCGTAAATGTTTCCATTAGCATGATACCATAGCTGTACACATCTCCTTTTTTGGATACTTTTCCTTCTCTTCCATATTCTGGTAGTGATCACATTCACTTTCATTGTTAGACATATAAATCACTAATTTCTTTTTTTTCTAGAAAGAAAAAAAAAAGTAACAAAGAAGTTTTAATGAAAAAAATTAAATTAGAAACAATTACCTGGCGCCATATAACCAATGGTGGCAAGGGTCTGTGTTTGTATCATAGACTCCTCTTCACCTAAGAGCTTAGTGATGCCAAAATCACTCAAACGTGCAACCAAATTTTCGTCCAACAAGATGTTGCTTGGCTTTAAGTCACAATGAACAATGGGGGTTGAATAACCAAAATGGAGATATTCTAAAGCTAATGCAACGTCGATCATTATGGTCAACCTCTGTGAAATATCTAAAACATTGTCGTCAGAATACAAACATTTCTCCAGGCTCCCATTGGGCATATACTCCAATACTAGTGCTTTAAAATCATAGCTAGAACAACAAGTGATGATTTTGACAAGATTTCGATGACAAATACGACTCATTACTTCACATTCAACTTCAAANTCGGCAGCATGGTCGCTACATGCAGATCGAGGGAAGTTGAATGGTGCTCTTCGAGGCTGCTCGGACTCTTTCGGCAGCATGGTCGCTACATGCAGGTGCGTTAGTAATTAAGCAAAAATTATTCCACGACCAGAAAGGAATCAGTGTGCAACTTACGTTCTGGGGACTCTAAAGACGCCTGGTCGTTGAAAAAACCGTACTTCCGCAAGTTTACGGTCATCACGAGCCTTCTCGCGTCCCGACTTTCTTCAGGGAGAACCCCAAAAGACATGATCCTATCCGGGTCGGTGAGCAGGTTTAGGCTGGTCATCTTGTTAACTGCAAAAGAATGCAGGTCGTTAGAAAAAGTGAGCGCACAGTTAATGAATCTAGCGAAGAGGGACCTACTTGGTTTCTGAAAGCGGTAGTAGCCGTCGTAGCAGAAGAAGAAGAACTTTGTCTTATAGGCCCCCGCGTTGCTGGGATAGCTATGTATCCCTTCGGCGATGGTAGATCGCCGAGACAAGTAATAGGAGTCTTTGTCCTTACTCCTTTTGAGGTAATACGAACAGCCGAGCTCCACCGCTGTTAGCTCACCCAAGCCGCTCTCAAGGCACGCGATGTACATCGCAACAGCGATGACATCGCGTTTGGCATTAATTGCATTGGTGCGATCCCGAAGTGATCCAGGACTGACCTAATAAAAGGGTGGAGAGGAATCATCCCCCCGCCCTTGAAGATCTCTTCGAAGATTGCAGCCAGGCCATCGGACGGATGCCGCGACGACCGGGTGGCGTCGAGGAACACCTCCATGTGGACGTCGAACTGTTTCTTTATCCTCTCGAATTCTTCTCGGGTGAGAACCGAGAAAACCTCAAGGGATTCGTCCACGGGAACATCCAGCGAAGACGAACCGGCTCCTTCTTCGGATCTGGACGCTGAGGGTTCCATTCTGCAGTCTACAACACCGACAGACAGAAGGTCATTTTAGCCATCGTACGTCACCCCATACGACGGCTTGGGGCAAATTCCCTAAAACCTATGTGATTCCAACCACCATTCACGGCAGGAACCCGACTCTATCGTCGCGCCTCTGATGAAGCATCAGATGACGCAACGCCATTATACCACCAAATAAAAAAAAAAGGGGAGGGAACAAAAAACCCTTACCTTTTGAGGGACGTGACCGTGGACGGTTCTTGCTTTATGTATCGGAGAGATGTCAATCGGAAAAGAAAGGCTTCCGGTTTGCAGAGAGTTTTCGCTTGAGGTGTAACAACTGCTGAAAACTAGTACAATGCATGCATAATAACAATAGAAAATTGGGCCCAAAGTTTTCTTTTCATTATAATTCATATGTCTTTTATACACAAAGAGTACTGTTTACAAAAATTCATTTTAAAAGACAACACAGGGGAAACAGTGTAGCTATTGCTCCTCGCTTGCCGACGCCCCTCCGACTGCATCAACACCTAGATCCTGCATCCACAAAGGAAAATAACGGNCCATAGGACATCTGAAGAAGCCGCCTTCCTGCATGCGTGCACCATATGTTGAAAACATGGTTAATTATTATAATATCAAGACATATGACTGAAATGATAATTTCACAAAACTTTATTGTAGTATTTCGACTATTCCATCCTGATATGAAATTACGATGTCGCGTTTGGAAGTGCAAGAGAGGAGAAAAGTACAGAGAAAAGAGATCGAGGTTGAATTATCAGTGACTTAGTTTTCCTCCTACGCATATTCTCTTAAACTAGTATGTTGGTTAATAAAAGAAAATTGATAGCAATTACTTACCGAATTTAAATACTGGGAGTGTATCATCAGATTCAGAGGCTGCAGAAGCCAACTGAATAGACATCATGAGAAATATGACAGCTACAAAAACTACCACCATTCCAACTTGGGAGGACTTAGCAGGACCCATTTTTGCCATAGTCAAAATGAAATATAGGAACAATGTTATTAACAACTCAAGAAAGGATTGAGAAATGAAGAGTATTGTTTGAAGCTCAGTATTTATAGACAACAACAATGTTAACAGACTGCACACTTAATTTTGTCCACATATGAATAGTTTTAAATAATTATCTAACGAAAAGTAAAAGCTAAGCGCATTAATTGGATATTCCACATCTTTCTAACTTCATCGACCAGTCAATATAATTAATGTTGCCTCGTTAATTGAAGAGAATTGAAAATGAACCAATTAATACCTGTCGTATAACCATCATCACTACAATTCTAGCTACTAATTAATTACCTACACTTTCTTATTACCGGAGAAAGAAAAGTTTCTAAAATCTAGAACGAAAAGTTTCTAAAATCTTTCATATTTCAAGATCTACACCAAGTTTAAAATACAACTAGAAATTTTAGAAAAAATTTCATATTAAAAATTATAAAATGTTTTGTAATAGGGATGGAGGAGTCACCATTTGGCTTGGGTGGTTCATTCGTTAACTAGGAATGTTATAATAAATTTATATAAATTTTATAAAGAAATAAATCATTTTATTTTTAATCGGCCACCCAAAGTAGTTATAAACACTAAATCCACGGTCCTGCACTTTTACACTAGCTATTCATCCATCTAATTACCACATGAGCATTTCTTTGTTTCTTCAACGCTTGGGGTTCTTATGAAGTTAACCTGAAACTTTTATCATGTTTACCTAAATCAGTCTTCTTTTGATCCTAATCCAATTTACATTTCAAACCTAGTTGGTTAGTTCCTATTCATACCTCCAAGGAAATGTCATGATCCTACTACGTACGTGCACTGGATTACATTTTGGGATCAGTTGGACGAGAATTAACTCTCTAAAATTACTGATTTACATTGACAAAGATGGATCACTTTATTCATTTAACTATGGGAAATGATCACCATGGATTATTCATATACAAGTTGTACATGTTAACATGCATTATGCATATATGCCCCTACATGCATTATTGGGAACATGCATACATAATGACATTAATATTTTACAGTTCCTGCACAATCTTATATTGCTTAATCCTCTTTGTATCGTTCATAGACATGTATTAGACGTTGTTGGCTATACACAGGAATCCTCTTCCTTCTTTGATTGCCTTATATATGTGTATTTTGTTTCTTCGAGTCCAAAGCTTATTCAAAAGTTTGCATGGAACTGTTGTATGTTGTATGTTATATGTCCCATGTTGGAATATTGTGGCTCACTTTCCTATTTATTCTCATGTAAAATTGTATGTCTTTAAAAAAACTATTTAATAAATAATACAATTGTAAATAGGAATAAAATTATAATAGTCCTATTAAGAATTCAAATATGAGTCTTATTAGAAATAGAATGTCTCATATACTATTTTGGGGAGAGCGGCTCTGGGTACCTTGTATTTTTCGGGGAAACCGGAACTTGAAATGCAGGTTCTGGTTCCTTATCCGGGTACCGTATAAAAAATCAATTATCCCCCATTAGTTTATAAAATAACAAAAATACCTTAAAAGTTTACAAATACTCCCCTAATAAATTTTGATTACTCATTCATTTGTGTCCAATGTGACTCATAAATCTTCTAATCTCTAGGCAACACTTGAATTCAATCAATTAATTAAATAATGTTATAAATTTATAATTATTTAAGTAATCATCTAACTATGTAATGTTATAATTAATTAAGTAATTATTTAACTATAATGTAATGTTATAATTAATTAAATTTATAATCATTTAATCAAGTATTGTACTAAGGTAGTAAATTACTAATGTTTATAATATAATGTCATAATTTGTTAAATAATTCTTTAATTATGTAATGTTATAATTAATTAAGTGAACATACTATAAGATAATGTTATAATTAATTAAGTAATCATTTAACTATAAGGTAATGTTATAATTAATTAAATTTCTAATTATTTAATTAAATATTATATTAATTTAGTAAATTGCTAATGTTTATAAAATAATATCATAATTAATTAAGTAATCATTTAATTATGTAATATCATAATTAATTATGTGATTATGCTATAATGTAATGTTATAATTAATTAAGTAATCATCCTATAAATCTATAATATAATATTATAATTAATTAAATTTTTAATCATTTAATTAAGTATTGTACTAATGTTTATAATGTAATGTTATAATTAATTAAGTAATCATTTGTTTATAATCTCTTCTCGGTTTATCTTTGTCCCTTGTATTTACTTTTCCCTAATCATTTGTAATCAGCCGCTGTTGCGACATGACCCACAATTCTAATACAACTATCAGTGGACGTAGACTTTGCTACCTTAGCATCCCGAACCACTTTAAAAGCTCTCATTGTTGCATTTACTCTACATTTTCATCTCTAATCACGTGTCTCTTGACCATTAACGTTATGCACGTGTCGATTAGTGGTGTCGAAAACACGCATAACATTATCAATGAAGAGAAAAAGAAAATAACTTAATCTCATAGCTTTCTATCTCTTCCCCCTTTCCTACATGTGCAGAAATTGACAAGTAGATGTATCCATGAAGTCTAGGGCAATCTTGATACATTAAAGAAAGAAAGGATTGGTGGCCTTGTTCCAATGTATACACTAAGCACAGGGAGTGTGCCCCAAGAGGTGGACCTTGACGCTGGCATCTCCAGTCTCTTCTTTCTTTAAACTGGCATGAAATATTAAAAAAAAAAAAAAAAAAAAAATACCTTGAAAGTAATGTAGATGGATCATTTTCATATATTTCAAGTAAGTTGGACAAATTTGTAGAGGACTGAAATGCATCCAAGAACTAATTTCCAGTTGATTTATCGACGACACAATCCCACAAATTTCCAGCAAAAACTTATTATAGGGTTGTCAAATTGTGTAATCGTCTTTGTACATATTCATACATAATAACAATAACAATAGGTTTATATATAGGACAACATACACTTATAATCTAATTTCACAATTCCAACGTGACAGTTCGCATTTGGTTCTAATGAATTTTCGTAATAACTAATAACGAGTTACCACATCGGGTAAGAGAGAGTTATGAATAATGTGAGTGGAATTTTTGATTATTATACTGACACTATCCCATCAATTTATAATATTGACAATAATATGTAATATAACAACATAACATGGATTGTCTATGGTAGACATGTTATAATTTGATGCAAAACATCCGTATCAAACAATAAAAATCTAGATTATAAGGTAATGTTACCCTAGTACTGTAAATGACGCGATACAATTTACAGGGCCTTTTTAATTGAAGATCCACGTGTTGCAAGCCTTGGGCAATAGTGGTGGGCTTTGCACATGGTGCATATTCTCATTGGGAGAGTGATAGGGCTAGCTATAGCATGTGAACATTAATAACCAAAAACTAAAAGGAAATGGGAACGTAATACTAATTGATAATTGAAATATATAGTATTTTCCTTGAGGATAGATTTGTGGTTTTAATTCGAGAAAGTTTAACTAAATTTAGGTTTTCGGCTCTTAGATGACCAAACTATAACTAGCGCAAGATATATATAATGTCTCTTTTCTTTTTTTTTTTTTTGATACCCGAGGGTGTTGGATCAGCGTTGCGCTTACCCAACTAGTCATTCAGGGTCTTGAAGTTAAAGGTTAGGAAACCTCCAATGGCTACCCTTTATTAGTAGTCATGGGGATTTGAACTCAAGAACTTTTTGAGTAACTACTAAGAGTCCCCAGCGAATCGCCAAGCTACCTAGAGGTAGTTGTAGATTAAATAGTCATTCCTTCAATTTTGTGATTTCCAATAGTGAGACATTTGACAGATAATCTATCTTTTGGATTTTTTTTTTTTTTTATCACGGAAAGCTTACTCTAGATTGTAAAGAGAATGATATGAACGTTGAGTCATTTTTATTGCAAATTGTACTGTCTTCATTGGTTTTTGGTTTAAATATGCATATTTGCAACAAAAAAAAAAAAAAAAAAAAGGGAAATATATTCATCTTTATTAGAAATAGGAAATTCTACAAACCCAATACTTTGTCTTTAGTAATTAAGGTCTATCAAATTAAAAAAAAAAAAAAAAAATCATTACAAGTAATTCTTAAGCAAAGTTGACATAAAATAGAAACTTGTCGCGAAGTCGCAGAACAAGAATGTTGTTTATCTTCACACATAACCTCACGACATAGAGGCCTTCAATTCATCTCTTTACAAATATGTAATAGAATTAGAATAAAGTCAAAGGTACAATTGATCAATAAAAAGTGAAGAAAACTAACCTGAATTTGATAGCCCTGTGCATCATTGACTTTAAATTTTGCAAATTCGACTCTAATATTGATGAGTCCTATTGCTACTTCTTTATGCCCATCCTTTCGCGATGTTCTCTTGTACATTCATAGCACAACTGAAGATAGATGACACAGTTTCCTCCTTGCTAGAGAAGTGTTCATCATCCCTTCTTAGCAAATTTGTGTCCAAGACTTGCATAACGGCTACATAATGATTACCAACCCTCCTCAAGCTCCTTTCTTCAAAAATTTTCATCTGTTGTTCTTCCTCGTAAATGTTTCCATTAGCATGTCATAGCTGTACACATCTCCTTTTGGATACTTTTCCTTCTCTTCCATATTCTGGTAGTGATCACTATCACTTCATGTTGAACATATAATCACTAATTTCTTTTTTTCTAGAAAGAAAAAAAAAAAGTAACAAAGAAGTTTTAATGAAAAAAATTAAATTAGAAACATTACCTGGCGCCCATAAACCATGGTGGCAAGGGTCTGGTTGGTATCATAGACTCCTCTTCACCTAAGAGTTAGTGATGCCAATCACTCAAACGTGCAACCAAATTTTCGTCCAACAAGATGTTGCTGGCTTAAGTCACAATGAACAATGGGGGTGAATACCAAAATGGAGTATTCTAAAGCTAATGCAACGTCGATCATTAGGTCAACTATG